TATTTTAAATTGAGGTACATCTTTGAGCATTTATAAATATCGATTAACATATCTTCCAAATTAATGGTTTATATAATAATTAATTAAACTTAACAACATATGGTAAACTCTATATGGGTATATAGTAAATACTTAAAATTATTTATTAAAAAATTGACAGTAATACATTTCTTTTTAATATCAAATCTATCAGTAAATATTATATATATATATATATATATATATATATTATATATATAACAAATGTATTCTGAGTGGATAGATAAATATTAATTTAGAAATATAACAAACAACACTTTTTTTGCACTAATTTATTTAATAATAATTTCACAAACGTTTCGAGACTAGGTTTGTCTCATCATCAGCGTGTTATAAATTTAAAATCTAAACTGTGGAAACCTATATAAGCATTATGTGTTTATCAGTTACACATAGTTCACTGTTCTGAACTGAATTCTCTATCAAGGATAAAAGATGAGTCATGGAATATCAAGAGGTGCAAAAAAAGAGTGTTATTTGTTCATATTTCTAAATTAATATATATATATATATATATATATATATATTATATAGGGTGGTCCTTAATATGGACATTTTCAATATTCCTTGCTACCAAGGGCACAAATGGTTCCAAATTGATAAAAACAATTCCCTGGAAGTTTTAGCTCTTAATATAAATTTTAGATAGTGCGCAATTTATTCAAACTTTGTATGAAAATAGCATGGAAAAAATTTGAAATTTGAAAAAAATATTTTGTTAGGTATAACTTAGCGACAAATTTTGAATAAAACTCATTCATTTGTTCGCTAAATTATATCTAAAAATTTTTTTAAAGCTTTTGAAAATTTTTTCATGCTATTTCTATACAAATCTTTAAACAAATTGCGCTCTATTTAAAAAACAATATTAAGAGCTAAAACTTTAAGAGAATAGTTTTTTACCAATTTGGAACCATTTGAGCCCTTGGGAGCAAGGAATTTCGAAAATGTCCATATTAAGGACATCCTTAATATATATATATATATATATATATATATATATATTAACGTATCTCTTGCTAGTGATATATAATTGAAAAATTGAATATAAAAAAATACCATTTCGAGATGTGTTTGGAAACCTTTGGATTAGAAAAAGTTGTAATTAATCTACGAACATTTTTGGGAGGAAGTAAGAATCAGCGTTGTTGATTGTGATTTGGCACATAAATTTTAACAGCTTTATTACAATCAATAAAGACTAAAGCAACAACTTTTATATATAGAATATTTTTATATAGTTTTAATGTAGGGCTAAACCACACCAAGAATGTCTATACCAAAAAATACATTCAATTTCAATTTTCTAGAAAAATATGTGCTTACCATTCAACTTTAATTTGAAATTTAACATATCAAAGTTACGACTAAAATTTATCTCATTGATATAAAATTACATGTATTGAGCCGAGAAGTATTGAATTAACATTTTTTTAGTACACGAGAAACCGATATACTTATTAGTATATTAATTTCATAAAGTTGAAAACCTTTATAAACATGCAACATAAAACGTAGACATAAAATTACATAAGTTACAAAATATATAAATGTAATATTAGTAATTGAAATTTTTTAACAAACAACGTTAGTTTATTATGTATAGTGAAAAAAGCAGGAGTTAAAAACTTCTTAAGTGTAATATTTGTATCTTGGTTTTCCTGGAAAAACATCAATATAGTACTTTCCAAATATATTACAAATATATGCTACTTTTATTAAAAACACAAATATTATTTAACGTGTTAATTGCCAAAGCTATGACTTAAAAATTATGCCATTGCTTAATAATTCAAATTATTTGCTTTAAAAGTTATCTAGCTTAATTTTTTTGACTATGCAACCATATTCAATACATTATTTCTAAACTACCATTATCATTATAAAATACAATTTCTTTTTATTTTAAAATAAATATCTGTACTATGATGATAGCTTACAGGATAATTTGCCAGGATTTGTTATCTTTATTATATTATTGAATTTTTTTAGCAATAATTTTACGCACTAATTGATTAGATGAATGTATTTGTATGGGCGGTTAAGCTCTTAATACACTTTTAATCCGAATAACAGATTGGAATCATTTTTAACTAAATTACTATTATTAACATTTAATTTAAAATCTTAGTAACAATTCACACACAACCAGTAGCTGTACATATATACAAAGATTCGATAACTATTTGTACAAGTATATATTTATACAACTTTCAATAAAATTATTCATAAATAATTTTTATCTAATATAATACATTTTGTACTGTAGTGTCACCGGTCATTAACCACCACAACCACTTATGAAACCAAATTAAGGGGGCGATTCTGCAGTAAAATCGGCCAATTTTATGAAAAGGCTATGTTATATGCTTTGCATATAAAACGGTACTAAAACCTGTCGAAATGTATTTGCTGTCAGTCAGACGTTGTGTGTTTTCTAGGTAAGGTTGTATATATAAAACGCCTAACAGCGCAGCAAATATATACCGTTTTGTCAGTTTTTAGTACCACTTTGTATGAAAAACGCTGAGTAACATAGCCTTGCTATATTTTACGGCAGAATCGGCCATTTATTAAAAATAAACTAAAAATGTAAAATAAAAAACTTACTTATAAAATGAGAAATCTGTTTTGTCGGCAGTGTTCGATAATATTTGCATCAAAATTTTCATAATAATCAACTTCACTATTTACATCATTATCGGCATCAAAATTCTTAACGCCTTCGCCCATCCATGTTATTTGCAACCGGAACGGGCCGTCATCTGATCGCCGCTCGACGTCCTAAAATCACAAAGAAAATAACAAATCATTAAATTGAAATATATGGATTTGTTTAAATAAAACATTCTAAATCAATTACTACTTCTTTATCTTATGAATGGAGTTTCAAGGGAAATCCGTTATTTTCTATTACATTTTAATCAAAGTTATCTACTGTTGATAGATGTTTAATTAACAGTTGTAACAAGAATTGAAATTAGAAGAAAAAACACTAATTCTACTAAATTACTACTTTAAAAAAAAAATTAAAATACTCGCTCGAAGGGGTATTTCAATTCTACAGACATAGAACGATAAAACGACAAGTCATCTAATGATTTTTGTGAAGTTGCTTGTTGAGCAAATTATATCTCTAGAAACTGATTGGTATTTAACTCAAATGTTAGTATTTCTAATTATATCCCGTAGGATAAGTTATTGTACTCGTCCAAAAATCGAAATTGAAATTTTTTACATTTCTTCACGCTTTGAACGTTTCTGAACATTTTGGCATACCTCAAAAAAAATGACGTGTTTGTATGTGAGTGTGTGTGTGTTTGTGTATGTATGTATGAATACAATTTTTCGTCCACGTTTTTGGGCGTACGGATCAACCAATTTGGATGGTTCAAAAAACATTCGATTTCTATTGATAATCAGATGTGCTGATTAGTTTTTGGCAAAGGCAGGTATAGCCGTTGAGGAGATACAGACCAAAGAGTGCAAAAAATAGATATGAAGGTTTAGAGAGAACGGAGTTTTTGGCAAAAGCAGGTCTAGCTGTTTCGAAGATACCAAGCTAAATGTGCAAAAAATGGCAGTTTTTGAGAGAACTAAGCATCCGATTGGAATTTTTCAAAAACTTTTTTTTGCGTGTATTGACGAAACGATTGCTTTTGGGAAAAAATTGTTCATTTTTTTTCTAAGTTTCCAATTTTTTTTATTTTATTCATTTATTTATTTTTTTGAATATCGAAGGTAATTTGATTTTAATTTGAGTTCTGGCTAAAGTTCTAAAACTCACTTATATACTTGAAATAAATAATTTTAACTTTGTAATTCAGTTTATATAACTCTTATAAATATTAGACAATGTCCTTCATATTAAATTTGATTAATTGAGTTTTGTTTATTTACATTTCTGTACATATAATATAAGTAGTATTTTTAATAATGTATTTTAATTTTCCTCGAATATTCTATTACGGTAGGGGAAGTTCCAGCAATTTGCCTCAAAGCACGATGCCATACACCTTACTAGTTTTAATTGAATTTCGTAAAGTCAACACATACGATACTATGTCTATTTATTGAACTTCCCGTAGAAGCAGTCGGTACATGTTTTCGCCAGAAAACCTGACCTGTTAATTTTATGGTTTCTCGACATTTCAAGACAAAAAAAATAAGTATACGTGTGTGTGTATGTGAATCAAATTTTGACTTTTTGTCTACAAAAAAAACACAGTGAATGTACAAAATACTTTTTTGTTTTTTGTTTAATAATGTGTAATATTACAACCATTTATCAAAAATAACTTATGTTTCAAATGATGTACAAAAATTGAAAAATCTGCAATACTTTCTACATAACAAGCCATACAACAAGACGGTATACCTATAAATCACTCATAAATTAATTTTATGATTTCTAATTGATTCAAGTCGATTATTTACATATACCGGATGTTCATAAAACGCTTTTAGGCAAAATGCCACATGGACCTAGTTACTCTGTAACGTCAGCCGCCAAACAAAACTGCATGATATTTGTATTAGACATATCAATCAAGTGAGTAAATATAGAATGGTACAAAGCATTGTATTTATACAAACTGAAATCAAATATAAAAACTAAATTGCCAAAACAGTGATTGAAGTACACTCATATCATACAAAGTTTAATTTAGTTGTTAACTAACAACATAAAATACATATAAATGTAAAAGTTTGAACAACTGTAGTATATTTCCAATGCATTTTCTTAAATATTGTTAAACTAACATAAAATATTACATGTTTGTTCTACTCACGTTTGAAGTGTGTTTAATTAAATAAAAAGTAAAAACTTTTGTTTGGAAAAACGGTACTATTAAATGAAATTCGTAAAACCTCTTCCATTAAAACTTACACACGTTGACAGCTCGAACAACTGAACAGAACTGATTTCAACAGCAAAGTCACCTGTTTTATAGGTGGCGCAAAGTTATCAAAACTAAACAATTTTTGGGTGCGTTTACCTTAAAGCATGGTTTACAACAAGAAGTTTTTTAAACCAAAAATGTGTGAGTTAAATAAAGTTTAACCCATTAAAATACAATTACTTTGGCATTTCTGATAATCAATTGTATGTACTTAGCAACTTGATCTGATTGAAAAACAATTATGAAACAACAAATAATTAACACTGGAAAAAGTAGTTACCATAAAAATACTGCACTATATCACATGTCTAACTTCCCGTAGGATAAGTTATTGTAATCGTCCAAAAATCGAAATTGAAAATTATGGCATACCTCAGAAAAAATGTATGTGTGTGTATGTATGTATAGATACAATTATTCGGTCACGTTTTCGGGCGCACGGATCAACCGATTTAAATGGTTCAAGAAACATTCGATTCCTATTGATAGGGAGATGTGCTGATTAGTTTTTGGCAAAGGCAGGTCCAGCAGTTACGGAGATAAAAAGCAAAGAGTGCAGAAAATAGAAATCGAGTTTTTGAGAGAACGGAGCATTAGATTTGAATGATCTAAAAAACATTCAATTAGTGATGATTGGGAAAAGAGGTTATTAGTTTTTGGCAAAGACAGGCCCAGCCATTTCAAAGATACAGAGCTAAATGTGCAGATAATGGCAGTTTTTGAGGAAACTAGGCGTCCGATTTAAATGATTCAAAAAACTTTCTACTTGTTTTAACAAAATGATTAGTTTTGGAAAAAAAATTAGTTTCAAAATATTTTTTTCAATTTTTTCTCAGGAAAAATTTTTTTTTGTCGAAAATAATTCAGCTTTTATTTTTAATTCTGACTAAAGTTTTAATATACTTTAAACAAATAATTTGAACTTCGCAATTCAGTTTATATGAATCTTATAAATAGACAATAACAATATTTATAATAATCTATCTGAAAACATTCAATATTCCTCGAACATTACGGAAAGTTCCAGCAATTTGCCTTAAGGCACGATGCCATACACCCGACTAGTTTAGATAATTTTTAAGAAGCAATCGGAATTTATAATCCTATAAGCTGTTGCGCTAATTTGACCTAACACTAGTCTGTTTAAAAGATGGCAACCCAAACAGTTGCCACATCTCTGTGAAATATTGATATTACAATTTCTGTAATAGGGCGAATGTTTTTATTGGTGCAACAATGCCGGATGAGAGCTATTTTCATTTGTAAACATATTGCAATGTATTGCTATATTTTCAAATAAAAATCCTCGTCATTGCTGCTCGCGATTGGCAAAATGCTGTTCGAAGTGAATTTGAACCCCGGTCCTCTGATTCAGATCCAATCATTCTAGCCGCTTACCTACCAGCGAGTTTTCTTAATCGCATAAAGTTTTGATGCTGGATTTTGGTAATTGTCAAGGAGAGATTATTTTATACAGTTTTTTGTTTTTTTATAAAAACTATTTCTTTTATAGAATTTACCTGTACGCTCTTGACGTAACTTGATGACGTCGCTGCGGATGATGCCATTAGATCCGATGACGTAGCGCTGCTAAACACGATCCTCGGCTTCTAGAATCATCACTTCTGAAATTATAATCAGAACATTAATATATATATACATACATATATATATATATATATATATATATATAAATCAGAAACAATTAATTAAATCAATTAACAGATCAAATGTCAACTTCCCGCAGGTGAGTTATAGTAATCGCAAAATATCGAAAATATAAATGTTTGCATATCTTTACATTTTCGAAATTTCTGACCATTGGCGTATCACGATATGTTGATCGCGGATCAACAGATTTGTATTATTCATAAAACATTCGATTCGTCATGACATTCGATAAGACGAAGAAGAAAGTGCAAAAACAACCAGTTTTGGCAAAGGCAGGTCCAGCAGTTACAGAGATGAAGAGCAAAGAGTGCAGAAAACAGAAATCAAGTTTTTGAGAGAACTAAGTATCTGATTTGAATGATCTAAAAAACATTCGATTTGTAATGATTGGGAGAAGTGGTTATTAGTTTTTAGCAAAGGTAGGCCCAGCCATTTCAAAGATACAGAGCTAAATGTTAAAAAATGGCAGTTTTTAAGCGTCCGATTTAAATGATTCAAAGAACTTTCTGCTTGTTTTAACAAAATAATTGTTTTTGGAAAAAAAAATTGTTTTAAAATATTTTTCTTTAAAAAAAATTTTTTTCAATATCAAAAAATTAAATCGAATTTTATTTTTGTATATCGAAAATAAATCAGATTTTATTTTTAATTCTTACTAAAGTTCTAATATACTTTAAACAAATAATTTCAACTTTGCAATTCAGTTTATATAATTCTTATAAATATTAGACAATGTTACAATATTTATAATAATCTGTTTGAAAACATTCAGTATTCCTCGAACATTTTATCACGGTACGGGAAGTTCCAGCAATTTGCCTTAAGTCACCATGCTATACATCCCACTAGTTTGTAATTAAAGTTAGATTCATTTAATTAAAGTGTTGTATATAAATCTCAAATATGTAACTAAATAGTTAATAATTACAATTAATCAATATTAATTTGTGAAATAGGAATTTGTCTTGAGGTAATTGTTAGGCACCAGTAATGATAATTGCAGGTACTTTACTTAACGAGCATGTATAATAATTAGTAACTTGTATAATGTTTGTAAACAAAATGTTCGACGAGCATCGAATTTTCTTCAATTTTACCTTACGAATTATTCTCATGGGAAGTGGGAAGAAGCTGCATTTGAAATAAGTGATATATATATATATATATATATATATATATTTATATATTGTGATGTTTTGCAGAAAAATATTTATTTACCGGATCGCTGTCGCTGAGGCACCACTCTGACGTCACCGCTCCTAGCAATTGCATCGCCGCATCTGACATCATTTGAATGTGATGATGTGAAATTATGCCTTGAAGTGCATGATGACCTAGATATTTGTATCAAAATGCATATATACATATTGCAAATATAAAATAGATCTCTATTATAAAACAACAATTATGTTTACGTACAACAATAACTAAAAAATATTTCACTATTTAATTACTTAAAATTATATAAATCTTTATAAATGCACACAAGGAACCTGTCATGTTAATTGAGATCTAAGTGCTCTGCGTTAAATTATCTGAAATAAAGTTTCAAGTAGCATAAAGTTTCAAGTAGAAACATGCAGTTATTATTCAAGCTACAAATGTAAATCTTAAACTTTGATAATATAATCACGCCAAGTACATGTTGGAACTTTCATTGGAATTATTAACAATCATTAACCACAAATATTCATTCACTGAATTTCAATCGTTTAAATAATTGAGAAAACCTCTGTAATTCCATTACAAAAAGCTTGTAATTAAATCGCATTACATCCCTTAGTCACTAAGGCTTAGTGATATCTTTGTATAAATTGCTCAAGTGTTTGTGATGACAAATCCTCGACACTTTGATAAAAAGAGTAATGGAATTTCATTCATTTTAGAGCCATTTGTACTCGCTAAGATCGCGTGAGAAATAAAAAATACAAAACTTCCTGTTTTAAATATTTAATTTAGAATAAATGAATGAATTTTAAATTGCAAGAATTTTCATCTTCCGTAGATTTATTTTAAATGAAATGATCTGAATCGATAACTACTTCAACAGGGTACTAAAAACATTTTATATATAACAAGTCTGTCTTGAAACTCAAATACTTTAATTAATAACGAGATTCAATTATAGAGAAAGAAATGGTAAAGCGTCGAGTTATCTAATGAGTTTTGTGAAGTTACTCGTTAAGACAACTATTTTTCTTGAAGCTAATTGGTATATAACTAACATTATTGATTTTTAACAACATATAATAATGTGGATTTTAAGTTGTACATAATATTTAATAAAAGTAATTTGAATACAGATTTTTCTGTTAGCTGTTCAATCTGAACATTATACGCTTATTTCGACTTATTAAAGCATTATTTTTTGACTTATGAGTAAAACTTCTACAACATCAAACCACAGTCAAAATGTAAAGGATGGAGTTTCTGCAATAACTGCTAATGTATTCATATTTATAAGTAATTTAATTTTGTAAAATACCTCGGACGCCTAATTGTTCATAAATAATTTCATAAGGACTAAATGTTCCAGTAGAATAGGAACCATGAATAATTATTAAAATAGATCTATCAACTCCTACATTATTTATTAAAAAAATTCTCCTAATACTCTTTTTAAATAAGCGCAACTGAAGAAAAAGCTACTCTAAATTTTTTATATCCCTTTGAAAAATACAGATAAATGATAGAAATTTACCCTAGTATTAAAATCTTATTATAGCTTTATTTTGTTTAAAAAAAAATTAATAACCTGTAAGTACGTAAGTCATTCAATTATTTTGAAAGTAATTCATTATGCCTCCAATTATGGTTCTAAATCTCTTTATGCTATCATGGTTAAAATAAATATCTTTAATTTAAATTTGATGAATATGGCCAAGAAACATTTCATGGTCTGGTAAGGTTGTCACACAAATATCAATACAGAAATTTTTAGAGCAAATATGTTTAAAATCTTATATATAAATATAAATCACAAAATGTGTTGGTAAGCGCATAACTCAACAACGCCTGGACCAATTTGGCCAATTCTTTTTCTAAAATGTTCGTTGAAGTCCAAGGATGGTTCTTACGGCGAGAAAAAGTCGAATAATTTCCGGGAAAACCCTCAAAACAGCCCTTTTTTCACATACAAACGTTTTTTAACTAAAATGTGGAATCAATTTGAGCTTTAATTTGCTTATAATGAGTAAATAAATAAGGTGAATTAGAGAATTTTTGAAGGTAAACTGATGGACAGGTAAATTTGAGGATATGTGAAATGATAGAGAGGAGAACTGGTAGATGGACGAATATGTAGACAAATAAACAGGTTGACAGATTAATTAGTTGTTAGGTAAAATGGTGTATTGATAAACAGGTCGATAGGTAAATTGGTAGACAGGTAAATTGATACGCAGGTGCATTGGTAGACAAGTACATCGGTGGAAAGGTAATTTGTTGGATAGCTGGTGGTCAGGTAAATTGGGGGATATGTAAAATGGTAGACAGGACAACTGGTAGATAGACAAATAAGACGAATAAATAGGTTGACAGGTAAATTGGTAGTCATGTGAATCGGGTTTATAGGTAAATAAGTTGACAGGTAAATTGATAAGCTGGTAAAATGGTAGATAGATTACTAAGTTGATAGATAAATTCGTAGACAAATGGTTGAATAAATAAATTGTTGAACAGATAATACGAACGTTAAACTAAATGGAACAAATACACACCTCTGTTCAACTTTTCAATTTCACGGCAAAGCGTGAACGGGTACAGCTAGTAGTAATATAAATAAATTGACAATTTCAAAGTTTACCTGCATTGTGATCCACAAGGAAACAGTCTTAAGAATGCTTCTCTGAACCGTCTGTTCATAAAACAGTAGGTAATAGGGTTGCAGCAAGCACTGACGTATGCCAAAAGTTGAACCAATGCCACACCAGTAGAGCCCACATAGTCGTATAATATTTTAGGCCAAAATAAGTACACCTATATAAAAAATCATTTCGCATCATTTTTTTTTCCACTTCTTAATTTTAATTTTAAATCACTTCTCGTTTATTACGATAATATTTATATATCGACTCACATCCAATATTTATTGCAATAAAAATATCGGAAGAAAGAAAAATACAGGAGTTAAAATAACAGCCACGTGGAATAAATACATTTTATATAAATGTCTATAAAATTTGTTATAATACAACTGAAACACACAATTTATATTTAGAAATAATTTTCTATTAAGACAAAGATGAATATTTAAAACAGAAGATAAATATACCTGAAACAAGTTGAAGAAATTTAATATGAGAAATATATATTAAACGCACGACCTTGGGTTGTTGAAATATATGACGGTAGATTTATTTCAATCTTCCTGAATAAAAAAATTATATATAATTGCGATAAATAATATTCATCCAATTTATTTGAAATTATAAAGTTCTATATAAAATATGTTATATATATATATATATATATATATATATATACTCTATTATTCACTCAGAATACATTTGTTATATATATATATATATATATATATATATATTAACAAAGTCTAATAATCGGGCATCACATCAATAAAAAACATGAATTTCTTTCAAAAATTTATTTTAAATCCATACGTTTCGGCTATAATCCTAGCCTTCATTCAGTGGAAACTAAAAATAAAATTAAAAACTAAAACAATTGAATTGGAGTGAAAAGAAAAAAATAAAATAGTAATTAGTACTTACAATTAGTTGATCTTAGTGTTAGATTGGAAAATTTAATAATCCATGGTATTAGGATATGGTAATGCACTACACTATGTATATAAACATTAACTTGAAATTACACAATATTTTCACAAAATACTGATTTGAAAAAATCACAAATGAATAGTGTGTTATTCGTAGACTGGTTGAAGATGTAATGGAGAAAGTCATTTTTAAAAAATATTTTTACCAAGATTCTGCACATGTGTGGAACGAATTGTAAAACCTTTGCGCGAACGCTTTTATTGTTTTTGTAAGAAATTTGGAAATGTTATCTAAATAGAAGAGATTTGTGTCGCACAGCGTGTTGAGTTCATTCCGTTTATTTATTGTCTTATTGTTATAAATAGTTAAAAAAGATCCCTCTATAATTCTTCGTTTAAATAAATTTTGTTCAAATTGTAGTATAGTCGGATTAGAAAAGTCCATATTGTGTTTTAAAGTGTATATATGGTCTGCAAGAACAGTTTTGAATTGTTTGGGGTTTTTTGAATTGTTTTTTGTTGTTGTAACCGTTTATTGAGGTTCTGGCTAGTTTCTCCTATGTAAATTAAATTGCAGTCTAAACAATTTATTTGATAGACGAGATTTCTGAGTCGTTCGATATTAAATGGGGTTTTTGTTTTTGTAAAAATAGTGCTAGTAGTTGTACTAAAATTGGTTACAAGTCGAAGTCCAGATTTATAAAAAAGTTTTTTCCAAGGAAAAAGGTTTTTTATAAATCTGGACTTCGACTTGTAACCAATTTTAGTACAACTACTAGCACTATTTTTACAAAAACAAAAACCCCATTTAATATCGAACGACTCAGAAATCTCGTCTATCAAATAAATTGTTTAGACTGCAATTTAATTTACATAGGAGAAACTAGCCAGAACCTCAATAAACGGTTACAACAACATAAAAACAATTCAAAAAACCCCAAACAATTCAAAACTGTTCTTGCAGACCATATATACACTTTAAAACACAATATGGACTTTTCTAATCCGACTATACTACAATTTGAACAAAATTTATTTAAACGAAGAATTATAGAGGGATCTTTTTTAACTATTTATAACAATAAGACAATAAATAAACGGAATGAACTCAACACGCTGTGCGACACAAATCTCTTCTATTTAGATAACATTTCCAAATTTCTTACAAAACAATAAAAGCGTTCGCGCAAAGGTTTTACAATTCGTTCCACACATGTGCAGAATCTTGGTAAAAATATTTTTTAAAAAATGACTTTCTCCATTACATCTTCAACCAGTCTACGAATAACACACTATTCATTTGTGATTTTTTCAAATCAGTATTTTGTGAAAATATTGTGTAATTTCAAGTTAATGTTTATAATACATAGTGTAGTGCATTACCATATCCTAATACCATGGATTATTAAATTTTCCAATCTAACACTAAGATCAACTAATTGTAAGTACTAATTACTATTTTATTTTTTCTTTTCACTCCAATTCAATTGTTTTAGTTTTTAATTTTATTTTTAGTTTCCACTGAATGAAGGCTAGGATTATAGCCGAAACGTATGGATTTAAAATAAATTTTTGAAAGAAATTCATGTTTTTTATTGATGTTATGCCCGATTATTAGACTTTGTTAATACATATGTCAACATCAAATTCAGAATCATACAAAATATATATATATATATATATATATATATATGCCATTACAAGTCGCTCGATATACTATATAATATATAGTATATATCGAGTATATCAAGCGACTTGTAATGGATAACACATAATGCTAATTTAGGTTTTCATATTTTAAATTTCAAATTATAACACACTGATGATGAGACAAACCTAGTCTCGAAACGTTTGTGATTATTATTTGATAATTTAGTGCAAAAAAGAGTGTTGTTTGTTCATATTTCCAAAATAATAAATATATATATATATTTACAAAATATATTTACAAAAAGCTCGATTGATTTTTAATATATAGATTAACTGATTAATATTTCACATGTTGATAATGAAATAATAGAATAATATAACATTTGAATAAAATTATTAGTTGGTCATTAAACGCTTTTACGTATATAACTGAAGACCTTAAAAAAATATATAGATAAATTGATTATTAATTAATAATTTTGGTTATTTAATACAAAATATGCTAAAATATTTAAACAAAATTATTCGTTAATCAATTAATATTTCTATATGAAATTATAAATCAAAATAAATGTTGACTTACTGTGTTCAGAACATGAAGTGGAGCCCAGCAGATGAAAAACTCTACAATTATCACAAACAGCATTCGAATTACCTATTGAAAAAAAAGAATAGAAATATCGTGAAATTAATTTTGAGACCAAATTTCATTAATTATTAACTTCCCGAAGAAGAAGTTTATGTTTTCATCGAAAAATCCGACTTGCTAATTTTATGTTTTCTTAACGTTTCAAGCCATTCTAAATCGTGTGTGTGTGAAGAGATTTTTTGCCGTAAATCTTCGTTTTCTCCCAAACGGCTGGACCGATTTCAATAATTTAAAAGCCATTCGTATACCTTGATGAAGACTAGTGTTTCTTTGTAAATTGCAGAATAATGAAAACTTTTTTGTCTCCGTTTTAACCCGCAATTCTGAATCGATTTGTAAATTCAAAAACCGTTCGAAAGATATTGGTTGGGAATTGTGCTGATTAGTTTTTGGTAAAGATCGGCTGGGCCATTTTCTTGTAAGAAAAAATCGACGATTTTTATGATTATTTTTACGGTAAATACCATAGTCTTGTAAATCCTACTAAAATATTGCGGCCCAATGACAAGTCATTTAATTTAATCGAATTTCTAATTTTAAAAATCCTTCAAAGTCTCAAAAACGCCTTAACCGATTTCAGAAATTTAAAAGCCATTTGAAGTATCTCAATGAGGACTATCGTTTGTCAGTTTTGTGAGACGATTTGCCGAGCCGTTACTTTGTAATTTGAAAAAAGTGTTGAACTTCTCATCTACATTTAAGCCATACTACCGAATCGATTTTAAAAACTCAAAAACTGTTCAAAAGATATTAGTTAGGAAGGATACTGATTAATTTTATGTGAACATCTACCGAGCCGTTTTTCTGCAATTAACTGTTGAAAAAAAAATTAAGCCAATTTTAATGGAACTTTTATTGGCGATATATATTATGGTCTTATAGAACTTACTGAAATATTACGGCCTTACGACAAGTAGTTTAATTTTAAAAATTCATCAAAGTTTGAGAAAATGAGTAGTTTTTTGACGTTTGTTAAAATCTATATATATAAAAGAGGATCGCTTTATGTGCTAACACTTATAACTCACGAACGGCTGAACCGATTTAGATGAAAATTGGCAGGGAGGTAGTTTGTAGTTATCCCGATTTTCAGTTTAATTGATAGTATATTTATATATATAAAAAAAATACTAGCTAGCCCGGCCACGCGTTGCTGTGGCTCAGTAATTGGTGGCAGAGAGGTAGTTTAGAGCCCGTTTTTCATTCTAATTCAGAATTAATTATTTATAAACTATCCATGTAGTTATATATATATATAAGGTGAAGTGAAGTTTAATAATAATGCCGCGACCAAGACTGAAAAAGAGCATTACATACATTTACATGTACATTTTGTCGAATAACTTATTCCCAGTTATAATTTCCCAGAATTTATCAAAGAATGGTTAGTAATATATGAAGGTACGGGGTTAAAAGTTATACACAAAAACCAGAATCCAAAAGAATCTGAAAAGCTTAAAACGTAATCAATAAGTCGAATACCAAAAAAATACTTGGATTGGATTATACCATGATTTCTATAGAAAGTGTATAAAACTTCCAGTTTGATTGAATTGACAAAACATAGACAAACTAATGGGTTTATTGTTTTTATAATACCTCATTGTATATAGCATTCAAACAACACATCCTTATACACTTATAGTATTAATATTTTTGATTCTCTAGAAATTGTTTAGAATATACCTTACTTAGCAAAACAACGTTTGCCGGGTCAGCTATTTAAAAATAAATGATTTAGTTGGTACAACGATAAATTACTTGGTCTTGAAGATAGTAAACCATTAAAGTCCTACGGAAAATGGTTCAATTATAAAATTTATAGATTTTTGAAAATTTGCTTTTTGAAAATACTCCGTGTTGACGTGTTCGTTCGTTCATTTTCAATGATGTGTAATAAATCCACTCGGATACTTATAATCACTCATAAATTAATTTATTTTTTATTGATTAAGTCGATTATTTACACTTTTCGGAAAGTTCATGTAACTTGCCTCAAGGCAAAATACCAATACCAACTAGTATTTTATTTAATTCATACTGACTAAACCAGTCATATAGATAATTTATCATAATTCACATTTAGAATTTCGAAATAGCTTTATCCATTAACATCGATCCTACAGCAACTATGTAATACTTGTACAAAATAATTTTGTATATATATGCCTATATATATATATATATATATATATATATATATATATATATATATATATATTTGCCACCAACCACGGATACTGTCAACATTTCAACTCTTGTTTACTGAATAAGTTATAAGATCAGTTCATCAATATTGAGAAGGATTAAGTCTACATTGCAACCAACGAGATTATTGCAAAGATTGTGGTAGTTGTTGTATTCGATATTTCTTGATTCGTGTCCTCGAATTCTGCAAATATATTCAGAATATAATCTAATTTATTTTACGTACTGACCTTTTTCTTGGCCTCAATGCTTTTGCACATGTAATTAGATCTGATTGCCTGCCGGGTAAATGTGTAGTGTGATGATACTTCATGGGGCATCATGGGTTCAGATAATGCCTCTCGTCCTCTTCTTGAATGACGATGAGATTTCTTTTCTGGTATTCTCACCTAATGACAAAAAAACAATGTTCATAAAATATAATGAAAAAACAGATAAGTTTCTTGAAGCAGATATTTTATAGTTGTTTTTGTTTCTCCTGATGTGCTATTGGACATATACAGAAATTGATGTGAGTTTGTGAAGAAATATTTATTTTAAACTTTTGTCATATTTGAAAACTTGTTCTTAGTTTGAATTTGTTGTATTTGAAAACATCTTGTCAGTTTTATTTTATTTGGAAAAACGTGTTAAAACTCTAATAATTCAATAAGTAATCTAAAAGTGTTATATATCATCATTTATATAAATGCTTTTATCGGTTCTTCTCATGCATTACAATTTTAATAATTTGTCAAAAGTTCTAGTGTAAATAAGCTAATGTTTTTGTATATTATAATAATTTAAATAAATGTAGTATTAATTAAAATAAATATTTTGTCAATATATACAAAGGCATGTGAAAGAAATATTTGAAAGTCATACCTTTAACAATAACATACTAAAACTTTAAATCGATATTTTAAATAATTTTAGAGTTACTGCCATTTAAAATAGTATATATAGTAGTATAACGATCATTTTATCTTTAAACGCGTTTTTTTCGAAACAGCATTTTTCGAATTTGCTGGAGTGATTACTCGGAGACAAATGATCCGAGCGCTATCAAAATTTTTCTGCATCTCCTCTATATAGTTCTCCATACGATGACCCTCTAGTTTCTTGATCTGAAAAATCGAATTTTGGCAGGCCAAAAACGATCAAAATTTTGGCAAAAATTAAACTTTTTTTCAACATGCCGTCATTTTGTCAATTTTTGACTTCTTTGTTCGGCCGAGGGTCGTCGTACAGACAATATGCTCTGGTTTAACAAGAATTTTTTTTAATGTTTTATCAACGAAGAAGGTTGCAATAACTCCAGCAGTAGAGGACCTTTTTATTTTTGGCACCGCCGGAAATTGTGTGTCACTTCAAAAATATACAATATTTTAATTCAAAAATTTACCTGTGTCTTCTCAAAACAGGCATGAATATACCTTCAAAATTAAAAATAAATGGATTCACTATTTTTTTTGTTTTTTTTTTATTACTATAAACGACCTTTATTTAGGTTGTCACACTAGGTGAATAAAATAGCGATTTGCAAGTGTGAAAGAACTTTATAATATATAGTCATCTTAGCTTTAATGTATGTAATTACTCGTATATATAAATGTCAAGAGATATAAACTAGCAACATGTGGTTTTAATAAAGATCCATTATCTATCTGCTTTTTATTCTGAAAACGACGTTAATATTTAATGATAAAACTAAAATGCTAATAACAGTTAATATTAAATAGTTAACAGTAAAATGATGCAATTACATTATGTACAGACCCGCGATAAACCCTTCATCAGCCATTTCTTGACTGCTTGCGTTGCACCAAAGTTGTCTTTGTCTTTCGGCATTCTCTGTTTGCAATCCTGGTCCTTTGATCGTACGACTTTATTGTTTGATAATATAGTACTTCCATTTATTGAAATCTGCTCGTATTTGGAAGTTTCCGATCTCGAAGTATTAATAGGCGTGTTCACCTGCGTTTCCGATAGAAGGTTATTTGCTGGATAACTGTCTGAACGTCTCACACCTGTAATTGAAAAAAAAATTATACTTTTATATACACAGATATATATATATATATATATATATATATATATATATCAAATATATAACTTTTTTATATCGATACGTAGCATAATAAATGTAATGTGATGTGATGTATAGGTGAATTAGCCTAATAGCACACAGCAACAATTTCGGATCAAATTTCATATATATATATATATATATATATATATATATATATATATGTATGTATGTATTAAAGTGTGTTACAAAGTCTTGTGAAGTCAAAAACATTTACAAATATTCTCGATAAAACAAGTATTTTTAACAAAAAATATTATTGATATGGATATATAAATTATTACAAAATAAACGTGATGATGGAACGTCGTTATTAAACATCTTCAAAAAAACAAATAGTTTTTTATTATTGGAATTACTGTTCAGAAAAGAAACAATCAATATATTGGAAAAATCCAGGACTTATTTATTGAATATATTAAAGTGTCCTGGGCTGTTGGTAATGTCTTTGAATGTAGGTTCTGGATCACCAGTACGACCAGGAATGGTAATAGTAGGCTGGACCCGAGCGGTGAACAGTTAAATAGTTGCTAAAGTATTACTCTCCAGAGTCCACTGGTAGTGTGAAAGGCCTTTAAGACGAACAGCGATTTGATAGTAATTTGTAAACACACTTCTTTCTTCGAATGATACTTTATTATTCACTATTTTTTACAATTAATATTTATTGATAACCCTTTGGTTATCATATCAGCAAAGACTACATATTACTGAATACTATGTCTGACTTCAAGTTCGACTCCAAGCTTGACTCCAAGCTTGACTCTAAGCTTGACTCTAAGCTTGACTGCCTGTCTAACTTTTGTCTAACTCTTATATACTGTACTGTAATACTATAATACTAAATTATTGTTTACAATATATTTACAAAATCCAACAGTAAGCACCACATAACCTACAAATAACTAGCAACGCGTTTTGTAATTATTAAACAAAATAATGATTCGAATTATTATTACAGTTCAATATAGATATATATATATATATATATATATGTATATGTATATATATATATATATATATATTATATATATATATATAAATATTGATTTTCAGCCGATCGTCGAAATTAAAGGAAACAAATAAATAAAAATATTTATAATATGCGTTTCGACACGGATTGTGTGTCATCAATCAGCAGTTTTTGCTAATCAGTATCTAAAAGAATATTTACAAAATTTAAAAAATAAATTTAGATTTATATTTAAAATAATTAAAGAATAAAAGATATACATGCCACACCAGAAAAAACCATTTTTTGATAATTACATGTAGAAAATAAACCAAACATACATTACATATAAAATAAATATGGACTAGTGGGGTGTTTGGCATCGTGCCTTAAGTCAAATTGCTGAAACTTCCCGTACCGTAACGAAATGTTCGAGGAATACTGAATGTTTTCAAATAGATTATTATTAATATTGTAACATTTTCTAATATTTATAAGAATTATATAAACTGAATTGCAAAGTTGGAATTATTTGTTTAAAGTAGATTAGAACTATAGTCATAATTAAAAATAAAATCTGAATTATTTTCGATATAATTTTTTTTTTTTTGAAAAAAAAAGTTGAAACAAATTTTTTTCTCCAAAATTAATTATTTTGTTAAGACAAGCAGAAAGTTCTTTGAATCATTTAAATCGGACGCTTAGTTCTCTCAAAAAACTCCATTTTTGCACATTTAGCTCCGTATCTTTGAAATGGCTGTGCCTGCCTTTGCCAAAAACTAATAAACACTTCTCCTAATCATTAATAATTGAATGTTTTTTAGATCATTCAAATCGGATGCTCCTTTCTCTCAAAAACTAATGTTCTATTTTCTGCACTCTTTGCTCTTTATCTCCGTAACGGCTGGACCTGCCTTTGCCAAAAACCAATTAGCTCATCTTCCTATCAATGGGAATCGAATGTTTTTTGAACCATTCAAATTGGTCACACACACACACACACATCCATTTTTTCCGAGGTATGCCAAAATGTTCAGAACCCTTCAAAACGTCGAGAAATGTAAAAATTTTCAATTTCGATTTTCGGCCCATTACAATAACTTACCCTACGGGAAGTTAAAAATAACATTATAAGCGAATATGTTTTGTTTTTAATTTTAAAACTGAAAATTTGTGTAATGTGCTCAGAACTTACATTACACCAATTTTCTGTTTTAAAATTAAAAACAAAACATGTTCACATTTGGTAATGTAAGTAGTTGTAACAAGTTTTGACGGAGATGATATATTTATACAAGCATTAATTTGTTAATTAAGAACTTCACAAAGTTATTGAATGACAGTAGAAAATGTCAAGAAAAAAGTATAAGCTTTCAAATGATGCAATTAAAAAAGTTGTCCGCATAACCACTGTGTTAGAAAATACAAAACGAAATATTGATTTCACTTTTTCATACGCTATCAAAGAATTAATTAACAATGTTCGTTATAAATAAAATTGCATACTGTGTGAGTAAATATTTTTTTATATATTTTTTTATATATTCTACGATTCAGATAGAACGTTACAGCTTGATTACAATGTCTCCATTCACATATTTTCAGTGATATCTAAACTAAATTATGAGGTACGAAATTAAAATTTTTTTGTCGAATATTTTTAGACAAAATCTATGAATGTCGGATATTTTTAGAAAAAACCTATCAAAATTCCTACAAATAGTTTGAATGAGTGGGTCAAACCTCGAACGTTGCTTAAAATACTTCACTCCTATAAAAACAAATATATTTTCATTGTTTACACATATCAACAATATTTGGAACCTATAGTATATGATCTAAATATACAAGTAAAAAAGACAAAATATTGAATCAGAATTTGCAGCGAACTTACAGAAATATCTGGATTCACAATAATTTAACATAGTACTAAAATGTTGCATTACCTACATGCATTATTGATTATTTATATGCATATGATGGCAAATATATGTTTATTGTGTGTATCTATAGGTAATATTGCAATGCTATGAATGCATCATATATTGCAACCTTATGCAAGTGGAAGAAAACATGAAATATCGAATAATATTTTACAGCGAGCTTAGCCAAAAATATTGATTCACTGTTGAATTTATCATCGTACTGCAAACTTTGCGGAGCATATTCGTATCATTAATACTTTTCTCATAAATGACAAATATATATTGTACACATCTATAGACCGTAATCGTATCCTATATAATATAATCCAACTATATAGAAGAAGAAGGAAACATAGAATATCTAAACAGATTTCACAGTGAACCCAAATATATCGATTCACAATATTAAATTTATGATCAGCAATTCATCAGCATTGCTTATACGTATTATTAATACCTAACTCATAAAATGACGTTCGAATCCTATAAATATAATATAATGCATGCAAGTCAATGAACACATTAATCAGAAACAGTGATTAAACCCCCATAGGCCCGTGAGGCAAATTTTTCAGAATGTCAAAACTTTAAACTCGATAAAATGTCACGACAATTAATTTTAAGGATAGATCCTGATCTGTTTTTGTAAATTTAGAAATCACTTTGTATGAAAAGAACGTAATGCGTTTTCTAATCAAATTTATTATTTGTGGGTGTCACATTGATATTGTTATTGATGTATCATATTTAATACAATCAATATCAAACTGATAAGCTTTTTTGGAGAAAAATTGAAACTCTGTTCGTTTTTTGTAACTTTGTTAAAGTGAATCTAACATATAAAATGCTTTAAAAATTATTCGATGGTCTTATTTTATTTTCGGTATTAAATCCAACCATGGCGAATTAACATAATATATTTATTGTTGTTTATTAATTTATTATGTTAAAATTTATTTTTTTGTTCGTATATATATTTTTTTTTTCAAATAAAACCTGCAGGATAAAATTGAATCCTTAACTAAAATATCTGACAATTTAGTTTGCTTCCTCCAATTGGCTTTTTTTTCAACTTCAGGAAGGCTAAATGGTAATAATCCCAAAAAATCGTTAATGAGATTATTTATTTATATATATATATATATATATATATATATCTACGCTTTAAGATCTCCTGAACTTTTGACATACTATAGAAAAAATTGATGTATTGATGTTTGTGCGGTTACAATTTTTTGTCAATTGACATTCGATTTATAATATCGGGAAGACGTTAGTTTTTCGCAAAAACAGGTCCATCGATTTTCGAATATGGGGCAAAGAGTAAAAAAAAATTACAATTCAATTTTTCAGAGAACGGAGCCTTCGTGAATAATTCAAGACACATTTTACTTGTATGACGAATAAATAATTGTCGAAACTTTTGCGAGAGCTTTCCCTTGGTGATTAAAAATATGTCAATTGGCGATAAAAAATGATCATCAGACATATGCACATCAAATTATCAGATTTTCATAAAGAATTTATTAAATTTTGTTTTTATTATTTTGAATCATTCCGCATCAAGATTTTTAATTTTTAAAATTAACATAGATAGTTCAAGTGTCTTTGGCAAAGATCAATCGACATGAATGATAAAAATATTCGCTTGGCCTTGACCGCGAGGCGTACTGTTTATGCCAAAGGCAGGGTTAGCTTTTTGGAGAGAAAGAGGTCATGCAGGTTTTGAGAGTACAGATCATGCGATTGGAATGACTCAAAATATATTTTGCTTGTGGTATTTTAATGGTATGCAGAAATGATTAGTTTTCCGAAAAGACAAGTCAACCGGTTTCAAAATTTTGAGAAACTTAAAATAGCCATCAAATAATCAAATTATTTTAAAATGCTTAAAAAACCTCGAAATTTTTGAATATCTCGGTTTTCTTTATCGAGTTTAGTCCACAAACTTTTTGATTTGTGAAATCAGTTCAGGCGTTTTTGAAAATTGAATTTTGATTTATCACATCACAAAAGAGACTTTTGACACAAATTTTGACTATGAAATTTTATCAAATTTTGATA